ATGGTGCTTCTGTGTAGGCAGGGTCTTTTAGGAATCCATTGCTTGTATTGTGCTTTCAGAACTCTAAAAAATGGGATTCCAACTTCTTGTCTTGGTGGTTGTTCCTTATTAATGTTCATGAAACATTTATGATCCATAGTACGATGGAGAATTTGCTGCACTTTCACAAAATTTCCTGATCAATAATCTAGAAATATTAATGACCTAATCTTCATGGCTGTCCTGAAAAATGCCATGGTTATACTCTGGATCGTCAAGCAGCTCAGTGTACCATATTTATACTTGTCTTGAGTTCCATCAAGCTCTGCTAGTATTGCACAATGGAAAAGAACAGTAATACTCTAGCACTGTAGTTTAAATCTTTTGGATTGATGTTCATGCTTTAAAGAAGTGGTTCTCCACCTGTGGACTTGGGGACCCATGGAGGGCCACAGAGTTATTGCAAGGGGTCCAAAAATCCATCCAGTTTAGGTAGTTTTTTTACCTTCCTTCAGCTGTGCCTTCCCAACGCAGCCCTTGTGCCATATCAGCTGGGCTTCATTCACCAGCTGATTGGCCACAACTCCTTGACTGGATCCACTTGCTCAGAGGCCCCATCCAGGCAGTTGGCATCTGGCCAGCCACAGCCAGAGGCCTCCAGGTGTGCGCCAGCTCAGTAGGGGCTGCTTGCCTACTCACGAGAAACACTTGGCGTACAGTGGCCACCCGCTCCCATCTCTTGCCACAGATGGAAATGCCTGCACTCTGAGGAACCACTGTTCAGCCAGCGGCTTCTTTGTGGACCAATCCGTTGGCTTCCCTGGCCCTTCCTACATCTCTGGCCGCCTAGGAAGGCAGCTGTCAGGACCAGGAGCTTTACCGGGATGTGGTGTCTCCCTCTCGACCACCCCAGGCAGCCAGTAAATGTGGGGGAGGAGAGGTTGCCCCCCCCCCCCCATAGTTTATGCATCTGAAGTGAGCTCTGATTCAAAGTTTATGCTAGAATAAATTTGTTACTTGTTAAGGTATCACTGGACTTCTAGTGCCACCTAGATTAGTAACTGACCCTAAGGATGTCCGGCTAGCCTCAACTAGGGCTAGGGCTTTTTCAGCCCTGGCCCCAGCCTGGTGGAACAAGCTTCCATCTGCGATCAGGGCCCTGCGGAATTTGTTACAATTCAGCGAGGCCTGCAAAACGGAGCTGTTCAGCAGGCTTTCAGTTGAGGCGGCGGGCATCCAAACTCCATTCTTGGCCTCCCCTGCTGACAGTCTAGCCTCGTGGTTGGTGGCTTGATACCCCTTAACGATGCTCAGATACATAGCCTGTAATGAGCATAGTTCTATTTTGTGTGCGCTGTAACCTCAGTGCAATGAGAATGCTTTTTATATAACTTGGGTGTCTTTTTCTAGGGTTCTTCGCCCTCCGGGTGGTGGTTCCAATTTCTCCTTGAGTGGGTTTGATGAGCCAAAAGAACAACCAGTGAGAAGAAACAAGATGGCATCCAACATCTTTGGGACTCCGGAGGAGAATCCACCTTCCTGGGCTAGGTCAACAGGTACAATTTCTTCTTTTTAGGAGGTTCCCATCATGCTGAAATGTCAGAGAAATTAGGTATACCTGGATTTAGCAATTGTAGCCCTTGTAGGAAGGTATACTTTTTGACCTTGCTTTGAATCTGTAAAATAGCTTTTGCCAACCAATTAAAGGGTAACTAGAGAAGAGGTAACTTGAAGTTTAAGGTATGTTTATACTAGAACAGTGCCAGGTAGGTGAAAAGCATGAACGTATTCCCTTTATTGGGTGGAGCACTGAAACTTGTAGGCATTGCACCAAGAATCTCCCAGGGCACCTGATCCATCAGTCTTGCTGAAGCCAAGCAGGTCTGGGTTTGGTCAGTGCCTGGAGGGAAGACCTCCTGGGAATCCTTTGTAAGCAGCCTTGAATTCCATGGAGGAAGAAAGTCAGGATATAAATATGTATTGTACAAGAGCCAGCAGTTAGATCTTGAGTAGCTGTCATCCTCAGCTTATCTGTGGTAGAATCACTGCATTGCATTCTTCAGTGCAGGAGCAAGTTCTAGCCTGAATGCATGTTAATTACTGGTGGCGCAGTCCTGTGCTTTGGTGTACTTTTAATTCATTAAAGCATTCTTACCTTTGCTTTCTAGTGCAGGCGCCCACAAAGTAGTTTGTAATTGCCCCACCCCCAATAAAACTGGCAAATAAATATCTTGAAAACAAAAGTAAGGTAAAGGTAAAGGTTCCCTTGCTCGAAAGCCAGTCGAGTCCAACTCTAGGGTTGTGGTGCTCATCTCCGTTTCACAGCCAAAGAGCCAGCGCTGTCCGAAGACATTTCCGTGGTCATGTGGCCGGCATGACTAAACACCAAGGTGCACGGAACACTGTTACCTTCCCACCGAAGTGGTACCTATTTATCTACTTGCAATTTCTTGCTTTCGAACTGCTAGGTTGGCAGGAGCTGGAACTGGAGACGGGAGCTCACTCCGTCAGGCAGCAACTCGGGTCTCGAACTGCTGAACTACTGACCTTCCACAGCCCGCAGTTCAGCGTCTTAACCACTTGAGCCACCGCAGCTCTCAAAACAAAAGTAGAAAAATCCAAAAACCAAATGTAGATCAACAGTTGTTAAAATCAGCCCTGCAACAGTGGTTTACTCCAGTACAAGTTTTGACCACCTAACATCTTGGTAGTAGAAATGGGTGATGCCAGTCACAGTACCAGCTGCACATGTTCTGCAAGAGTTAGAAGGATGTTTTGGTGCTTGTGTCAGCTGCATGGCTTGATTTGTGTGGCCCTTCCTATAAATGAAGGAAAAGTCATTAAATTCAAAAACAGACTAGAGATAAAAAATAAGAGCACAAAAGGCACCCTTCTGCAGGTTGGTATAACTTAAGACATTATCAGAGCACATATTTTTGGAATTTTGAGAAACTTTGATGCAGAAAGAGGTTGAACTGTACCCAAGGTGCAGGTGCTTCCAATGCAGTCACAAAGGATATTTGAGAAGGCTAAAGGTCACCAGTTGTTGCTTGGACATGTCAGACTTGTTGCTTTTACTGTTAACATCTACTTGTATAAATGCTAGAATGATTTAATAAAGTCACAACTTATTTCTAGCAGCCAAGTCCAGTGATATCAGTGAAAGTTCTGAAGCACCTGGGTCCCAAAGAAGAAAGTCCACTGATGCAGAGTGTGGTGACTATATAGATCCAAAGGTAAGAACTTTTCTCTAATTATGATTATAAAATGGTGGCAGAGAAACACCTTAGAAATCTCTTCACCGTCTTATTCTGTTCCCTTCTTCCTTTATAGTAATATAACAGCTTTCCCCCCCAGTGCTTGATTTAGGACTAGACCTTGAGTAAACTGCTCAAAGTTAGCTACCCTGCAGAGATTGCTTTTTACTTGTCAATTGAGCATTTCCAAAAACTAGGTCAATGGGGTATCATTTTGGCTTGAATCTATTGTCATAGTCCAGCTCCCCTTAACAAGATGACAGAGTGCCCATTGACAGGTGAACTGCTTATTGAGACTTGGGGCGATTTCTCACGAGGCACTTGCGCCTGGTTTCCCCTGGAGTTTCCTGCTCCGTAGCGTTTTTTTCAATTTCACATCAAGCCTGTCTGCCCCCTCGTGCAGCGGGTCTTTCATTTTACATTGAAGCCTTGGGGAGTGGCTTCCTGCAATTCACCTCCTCCCACTACCGCCCCTTGGTTTCCAAACCCTCCCAAACCCCTCCCATCCGACCTTCCTCCATCCACCCCTTTATATATATATTTTGCACGCATGCTCTGTATCGTTAGATCGTTATTTCGGAACAATGATGGTGAGGAGACATCATGTGACACTTCTTCAGCAATCTGATTGGTGCTCTTTGTCCTCTGAGCCCGGAGTTTTAAAAAAAGGTCTGGGGATTCTCCATTTTGCACATCTCAGCACTGAGACTTTTCCCCAAGATTGATGACCGTCGGGAGAAAGCGTTAGCTGTACTCTGCTCATTGCTTGAGTGTATATTGTAGCATCTATTTCATTGCCGTGCAGTGTGGGCGGGCAGCATCTTTTTCATTGCTACAATAGGACGAATTGCTTGTTCACAACTTTAACGCCGTTGTTCCCACCCCCTTTGTCAACAAAGCTCTTCTGCTGGTGTAATTCCCTTTCCTTTCCCCCCCACTTCCTCCTCCCACCATCTGGTTTCCAGATTAACCCTTTTGAACAAAGAAAATAATCCCTGTGATATTCCTGGGATATCCCCCCCCCCCCGCACACCAACTGGAAAGCACATTTCCCTCATAGAAAACTTCCATGCAGTCGCGGAGGGAAGGGGGGTGCTGCCGTGAATGGATCTATTTCGTTGCTGCAATGGGATGATATAACGCAACCATTTATTTAAACAAAAAAAAGCCCAGTCTCGGGAAAGGGAGCGGAGGCGGCAGCCCTACTGGCTGAGCGGTTGAGCGAGAGAGCCGCGAGCCCG